ACTTACGAATTTAATTTATAAACGTAATTATTCAATTATAACAATTATAAAAATAACTATTCAATCACTCATAGGTAAGTAGGTAGGTAGTTAATATTGAGGTGTACGTATGAGGTATCTATCTAATACTTTAACAATAATAAATTATGGTCAAGTTACTACTTACCTAGTGGAGTCTTTGGGACAGTTAAATTTTTTTTTGTTCTATGATTTTTGACAGGTATTTTTTACATGTATATGGTTTACTGTACAAACAGTACATTTACACTTTTTTATATTTCATTTGATACAAATAATTCTTAAAAAAAAACAAAATTTGGCACCGATTAATCTTTACATAAACCTTAGTTTGAGCACGGTCTGAGCTGGTTTAAAGCATTTAAATAAAAATAATTTTACGGATTTTATCGCGTATATTAACTTATTTTATATTCCCGACGTTTCGGGCACTTTTCAGCACCCATGGTCACGGGGGGGACTGAGGTGTTTGACGTCCCACTGTCATAGTTAACCACGGCTACCGTCAGATTAAAAATTATTAATTTTTGTTCCGATCAACGCAGTATGAACTTACAGTATCATGAAGTCTTGCAGTTGTATGCTTGGGTTGGGATTTAATTTTATTAATTATGGGATCCCAAGCAGATGTTAGCACCCAGCCATCTTTTCTATTGAAATTAGGATGTTTTTTTAATTTCAATAGCCTCGCGAATCATCCTGGGGAGGAATCGGTGTTCTTTAACGAGCATTTGTGGTCTATCAAATCTAATGTAGTGACGGGGGCGATCCTGTACGTGTTCACAGACTGCAGACTTCCAGGAACGTCGATTCTTCACATCAGCTATGTGTTCTTTAACGCGGGTTTTTATGGATCTTTTAGTTTGTCCTATATAAGAGAGACCACATTCACAATCAAGCTTGTACACTCCTGCATCTTGCAGAGGAATATTACACTTGACTGATGGTAAAAACTGATTAATCTTCTTCGGCGGCTTGAAGTATGTTTTAATGGAAGCACGCTTCAAGATGTAGCCAATATTGTCAGTGACACCTCTGACATATGGCAGTACAGGAGGCACTCGCTCGACTGTGGCCGGCTTCACTTGTTCTCTGTGACGGAGGCGCGGAACCCGAAGCTTACTGTCGTGCAAAACTTGCTTGACGTGTTGGAGCTCGGCGGCCAGGTGTTTACTGTCACAGATCCCTCGTGCTCTCTGAAACAAAGATTTACCCACGGTAGCTAACTGTGAAGGATGGTGGTGAGAATCACCGTTTAAATATCCATCTGTATGGGTCTTTTTTCTATACACAGTGTGGCTCAAGGTGTTATCAGGATTCCGAATTACTAACACATCTAGAAAAGCTAAAGAATTATTTGCCTCTAACTCCATAGTGAACTGAGTTTTAGAATTTAAGGAGTTAAGATGGTCTAAAAATGCAGTTACTTTATCTAAAGGTAGAATTGTGAAAGTGTCGTTCTTTCGAATTGTGAAATTCTACCTTTATTTCATATATTCATTCATCTAGGGTAAACCTGGCCATTTTGTTTTTACAATTTTTTTTAATTACATTAATAATAAAGTAATTTGTTTAACATATAAAGGTTTTCAGTTTTGTCTATATTTCGACAGAGATTGGACATTAAGCAAGTATTTGAGAGGCTTAGTCACCTAAATTTTCAGTTGCAATAATTGTCAAAAGTTTAATATTTTTAATTTTTCATGAATATCACCCTTCAATATTTTATTATTTATGTTGCACCAATTATGCCCGTGTAACCTAATCAAAATATTGATGAAAAAGTTTTTTTACAATTAAGGCATGTTTATTACATCCTAGCCAGGAAAAACTCAAAGTGCTCAATATCTTTCTTTTTAAATGAGTTTTTACATTACTTCCAATACAGCTATAATTCAAATATTTAGGTATAAAGTGAGCACCATCCCTGTACAAGATTAGGAATTTTTCGTTAGGGTATGCCAAATTATTATTTTTTAAGGATTAATACTATCTAGATTTTATGTAAGAATGAATATTTCTCTCTACTGCTAATATAATATGTTTTGATGCAATCCTTACAACGAATACCTTTCGATATTTTCCGACAAATGTATCCAGCAGTGTAAGCTGAGCAGTGGTCTTTAATTTTTTCCATGACTACATCACCCACCAGTAATTTTTCTCTTGAACTTGCTTGTGAAGAGGATAGGAGATCTCGCAAAACATTGGGAGTGTTTTCAGAGTCATTTTCTTTATTATAGCTGTTCCCCGCGACTTCGCCCGCGTGTAATTTATTACGATTGGATTTCATGGGTTTTAATTTTTTTGCATGGAACCCTAATTCTTTTTTCAAATTAAAAGTAGCCTAAGTTCCACCATATATCAGTTATCTGCCACTGAAAGTCTCGTCAAAATCGGTTCAGCCGATTCGGAGATTAGTCGGAACAAACAGACAGACAGACAGAAAGATAGACAAAGATATTAAAAATTGTGTTTTTGTTATAAGTACCGTACCGTGTATTTTCATATGAATTTAGTAAAAAACTGTTATTTTGACATTACAAATAGACACTTCACTTCAAACAAAATTTATTTGTATAGATATATATTAATACACAGGAAATGATATTAAATAAGATTTAGATATTATTAAATATCTATATTTATGATATTTTATAGGAGTCACGCAAACCAAACGCCCATGGCCACGTCCCACGCCCACGTCTGAACTAGGACTGTTGATAAAATATCGATATATCGAAAAATCTATTTTATTATTCAGAAATATCGATATTTATTTTTAATATTTTTGGACGACATATATTGAAATAAAAGTTTGATATTAAAATATAGATATATGACAGTCGATATTTTTTTTAAAAATATTAGTAATGGCTATTAAACATTACTAATATTCCCTTTAACCACTTCTGTTTATTTGATAGCTGTGGATGGAAAAATTGGCATAATTAATGGAGTACATTTATCTGTCGGCATATTATGTTGAGTGAAGGTAAGTTTTATCTACTTTCCCTCTCCCTCCCGGTTGAGCATCCTCCCCCCCCACGTTCCCACCGGGCGGCTAGGGTTTATGCGCGTTCGCACGCCCAGCCAAGTATTGAATTATTTTAATTTTACATTATCTTTTAAGCTATGCATCCAAATAACATGGTATAAGGAACAAAGTTTATCTTCATAAAATTGTCTTGATGATGAAGTAATTTTCGTTCGTAAGGATAAATAGGCCATGCCTAATAATAACGCTCATAAATCACTTTTAAATTTTCAATATTTTTTGTCACAAAATACCTAATTATGGCTTATGTATAAGAAATAGACATATGGTATCGCGGACTATTTTTTTAGACGGAGTAAAGATCTATATTTTGCTAGATCATCGTATTTACGTATCCCTAACGATAACACCAGCGTATGCGGATAAATCATTTCGGGAGTGCTTTTTCTTCTGACTTGCTTAACAAATATCCATATTTAAGGCTAGCTGAGTGATATAGCTTAATGCTAGATAGCCTATACTATTCCACATGAATCTGGCTATAATATACAAAAAGAATTTTTCAAATCGGACTGGTAGTTCCAGAGATTAGCGCGTTTAAACAAACAAAGAAACTCTTCCGCTTTATTATATTAGTATAGATTAGGAACATTTTTAAGAAGAAACATTTAATAATGTGTCTCCATAATCCTCTTCACAATTAGAGAATTTCGAATGTAGAATAACTATGTTAGATAATATCAAAGATTTAAAGGCATATATAAATATGTTTGAATCTAGGTTAATATTTCTATAGTTTATAGCTATTATACGTTCGAAAATAAATTTCAAATGGGTCTTGGTTAATATTTCTTGGATAATAATATTCTACATTATACTGTTCAAATAAAACCATGCGTGAGTGTCGTATGCTGCAGAACTAAATCTGCTTGCTAATTTAGATACATGTGGGCTCCATTGAATCTTTGCATCATTAGTAATTCCAAGAAAATCAAGCTGAAGTGGCAATGGGCCGGCCATATAGCTCGAAGAACCGACAACCGATGGAGAAGAAAGGTTCTCGAGTGGCAGCCTCGTACCGGTAGGCGAAGTGTAGGGCTTCCCCCCACGAGATGGAGTGACGACCTGGTAAGATATGCAGGAAGTCGAAGGATGCAGGTGGCTCAGGACCGTGCTTTGTGGCATTCTTTGGGGGAGGCCTATGTTCAGCAGTGGACTTGTGAAGGGCTGTAATGATGATGATGATGATGGAATATGCTTAAACGCTGGGGCCTCCATAGTATGAATTTTTTACAGACTTCAAAAAGTTTTTGTATGTATGTTACGCGATATCTTCGTAGATTGTGAACCAATTTTGATGATTATTTTTTATTAAATAGGTTATACTTCAAGGATGGTCCCATACAAATTTGGAGAAAAAATTTCACCCCTAAGGGTAGCAAATAAATAACTTCTTTTTCAGAAATTTAAAGTCGGTTTTTACCTTTGTTAAAAGTTTCAATTATTGAAAAAAAATCTGTGAGCCAAAACGATCTGTAAAAGCTATTTATATTAATCTATTAGTAATGAGGTAATCATTAATGAAGACTGTTATAGCAGGAGACTACAAGACCCTTAATTGGACACTTCATATTTCATATCGCACAAACGCTTGTCTAGACTATTTAGTAGGTACTCATGATTACCATCATATCATGATATAATATATCTAGTGCATAATATTATTATGCACTAGAAACGAACCGTACAAAGGAATAAACGAAACAAATTGTCAGGTTAATTTAAGTTTTATTTACATTCTACATTTTTTATTGTTTTAGATACTTAATATAGTTTTATAAATACAACAATAATATCGCATGTGTCTTGCTATTCATTTTAAAGGATTGCCATTAATTTTATTATTAAATACTTTATTTATTTTCAAAAACAATAACACATAGAGAAAATATGCTTTATTATTGCTATGCATCTTAAGATAAAATTAATTGCTGTAGAAATAATCATTATACGCCATTACTTTGTTGGATCGTTTCTGATTTTTCGGGCAAATCCGCTGTTCTTGTGGTAATGGTAGGGTAATTTTTGGTATTGGTAATCCTTCCCAATCTCCCTGAAAAGTTAAATAACAATAAATATTTATTTTATAATTTAGGTTTAATTTGAACCCCACACGGAAAAAGTGTTTGTACGGTCTAGTAATAATTGTGTGATCCTGGTTATTCAAATTTCTCTACGATACAGAAGTAAGTACTAGTGTGGAGGGTTAAAAAAAGTGATAATGAAGAAATAAAAAAACGTAATAATATTATGTCACTGCAGTAGAATGAAAGCTTTTAGATTATATCGTTCGCACCGGCGTCACTTGCCCTTACGCACACAGCATGCATTCCCCGCCGGTATTTGGTGATTGCCTGTAATCGGATTGCACTATTGACCTCCGGTCTGAGCAGGGGGCTCGCGCCACAAGTGAAAACCTTCTAAAACTAACTCGCGCTATTAAAGTTCTGAAGTAAAAACAGTATAGTATAAAATAGCTCCGAATTACCACCCAGAGCGTTCGCGGCTCCCCGGGCTGAATACCTTGCCCGACGGAAGATCTCCCCTTTTCCTTTCACGATCGCAATAGATTTTTTACTCACCTGAAATCGATTACCATCCGATTTGTTACACTGCATCGATATAGGTGATTCAGTATAGAGGGCGTTTAAAGCACTTGCTCGCAACGGCGTCCAAGGTTTTATAGACAAATAGTTAGCTCGAGGTGGCGATAGGTAAGATATTGGCATGTTATCCCATCTGAAACATTAGAAATTTTAAGAAAGAAATTTCTTTAGGTGTGTTGTCGCAAGAAAAAAATACATTCCGTGATAGGTGTAGGCTGTGCTTTATGTGGGATATTGATTAGCGACATTTATTCAAGAAAATATACAATAGTGAAGGGAATCTTCCTTTCCTTTTCAATTCCTTCTATTTCGGCAATAATATAGAAGATATTGATGATGACGTTCCCAGGCTATTATTGATCACAGCCACAACTTGTAAATAATCGCAAATTTTAACTACACAGGAGATATACTAAGTAGTAAAATGCGCTACAAATTTATAAATTTACGCGCAAACACCAAACACGTGCTCAATGAATCGCTTATGCGCTATATCAGAGGATGAATGTTTTTCAGAGACACAGACAACACAATGAGACCTTAAAATCAGAAATGTGTGGTATTTTGTATAAATGCCGGTTCCGGGATTCGAACCCAGGACCAGTGGCGTAGCAGCCACGTACTCTGATCGCTAGGCCATGCAGTTGTATTACGAAATACGTACGCAGGGACCAATATAATTAGGAAAATATTTAAGTGTATTATCCTCAAAGCACGGTCCGAGCAGCCTGGATCCATCGACTTATGCGTACATGCCTCATCAGGTAATTTAATTTTAATTTAGTTAACTGTGTAGGGGCGGTGCAAGAATATCTACTACCCCATATTATTCCGTGGGTGTTGTAATAGGCGATAGAGGGAAACAAATCAGGAGATAGGCAGAAGGGTCTTCCTAATAACGACTAAAAATAAAAAGGTACGGTTACCAATACGCTTGCCAAGCCTGGTAATTATCGCAAATATCTCCCCCCCCCCCCCTCCCTATGGGGCAATCTAACTGGGACGTTAAGTTCAGCAGTGTACTTTAATAGGCTGTAACGGTAACGGGGGGTCAGTCGTTCCACGAAATAAGAGTTTTAAATCAAAAATATACAACAAGGTATTGAGAGTGGTGCCTTACAAAACTAAAACGTGGTCCTTCGCTGCTGTTCTATGATAACTCAGCGAGCAATGGAGAGGATAAAATACGTAACGAGACGAGAATATTCACCATACAATAAGAGTATCATGTAATAAATACCTGTGTTCAAATTTAAAATAGTTCTCCAACGCGAGGTTAGACACAGCGCTCTTACAGACCTCCAGCTCAGTGGCTGGGTAGTAATGCATGTAGTTGACGCACATCTCGTCCGTAATGGCGTGACCGCCGATGGTGGCGTTCTGTTTATCTACTGTGTTGTAGATACAGGTCGTTTCTAAAAAGTCCCCCTGTTGGCACAAAAAATCCACAGGGTTATGAATCCATGATAGCTATAAAGTTCGGGCGGCAGATTTTGGAAGGCGGTATTTCGGGATAGAAAAGAAACTTTTACTATTATTATGATTTAAGCTACGTGAAGCGAATGTGAGGGGGGAGAGGGTAACATAGTAATATTATTTAGTCTGTGGTTAGAGTCGAGAATCGATATGATAAACCTACCTATTATGAAGTCTGTTAGAAATGAAAAGATGCAAAGACAACTTCTTTTTCGATATTAAGTATGCTGTAGTCGAATTCGGATGATTTTTTTTTTCAGAAGTTACAATATAAAAAATAATGAATACAAAAAATACAAAAAATAATGAAGTACTTATAATTACTGGTTGTAAAACGTGGTAGAGCCATGCTGCAGCTATATTAATAGTATAGTTGTAGCACGAATGGGTCGGCGCGACCGGGGAAGGACCACGCTGTCAAAGAATACCAGCATAAAATAGCAGCTTAACACTGCTATGTTTCGTATGGTGAGTGTACAAGAGAACCGGAGACCATTTTTACTGGAAAAGAGGCATTCTATCTTAGTCCTCACGTCTGACAAAAAATAATTCGCAAACGAAGATAGATGTAGACGTCTATGGGCCACAGCGATCACTTACCATCAGGTGGACTGTGTGCTCGTTTGTCACCCTTATTCTATAAAAAAAAACTTCTTTTCTGCTAAGAAGCCCGCGTGGGGTTAGGTACCACTGTGTTACCTATTTGGCCGCCAAGTATCAGTGCTTGCGCTGCTATGTTCCCGTGTAAAGGGTATAGAGAGCTGGTATAATAACAGGCCATGGGGAATTTCACCTTAGTCCTCAGATGTGACTATGCATATCATCTTATATACATAAATAGCCTTCGACGACGTAGCCTTCGTTGTTTAAAATAGGCTGCCGCACCAACCACCAACCATCCGGTGAACTGTCAGTTTTTATTTATTTACTATAACTTATCTATACAAATAAATAAAATTGAAGTGTCTGTTTGTAATGTCAAAATAACAGCTTTTTGCTAGCTATCTGCCAGTGAAAGTCCGCTCAAAATCAGTCCAGCAGTTTCGGAGATTAGCCGGAACAGACAGACAGAAACACAGACAGACAAAAATTTAAAAAATTGTTTTTGTTACAAGTACCGTATATACTTTCATATGCATAATATAGTAAAAAGCTGTTATTTCGACATTACAAACAGACACTTCAATTTTATTTATTTGTATAGATTTATACCTACCTGGGTATCAATAAAATAATTCTGTTAAAATCTTAATCAGTCTGGATATATTTTAAAATTTGCTAATTCACCACTATGGGCGGACGAGTTGGACTCTCGCAATGGACAACTTGGATTTTTATCATAAAAATATATTTGAAAATATGGAATATTTTTGAAATTATTTGTATGATAAAAACCTATACTTTTAATAAATGTCTCATATATAGGGCAAACAAAACGATCAATAAAAACCCGCGTAAAAGAACACACAGCTGACGTGAAGCACCAACGTTCCGGGAAGTCTGCAGTTTGTGATCATATCCTAGACGGCCACCGCCATTACATTAGATTTGATAAACCACAAATTCTCGCGAAAGAACATCGATTCCTGTAAAGGATGATACGTGAGGCTATTGAAAAACATACTAATTTCAATAGAGAGGGAGGCTGGGTACTACCACCTGCTTGGGATCCTGTAATTAATTAAATTAAAACTAAATCAAAGCTTACCACTGCAAGACTTCAAAACACAGTAAGTTAATTCTGCGTAGATGGGACCAAAATTAATAATTAAAAAAGCTGAAGGTATTCCGGGTTAACTCTGACATCGGGACGTCAATCACCTTGACCATGGGTGCTGTAAAGCACCCGAAACGTCGGTTGCTTAAAATAAGTTAAATAAGCGCGATAGAATCCGTAAAAGCAGTTTTATTCAATGTGTAGTGTTCGCGTAAATATAATGTCATACCGGCAAAATTTTCACTGGTCGATGCAAAATTCTGATTTCTTGAAAATGTGTAGAATAATGAACATCTTTATTCAGCACTGGCAACTCGACTCCTTGTCGAGAGTGGCGGGTCCATACAGCAATGCCAGTCAAATGCGTGTGCAGCTGACTGCCGAACACAACGATACCGTTTTCCGGCAGACCCTGTAATATTTTTAATTTTTATAACATACCCAACACAAATATTTTCTGTCCATTATACAGTGGTGGTGTAAGAATATTTAGTATCCCATATCTTCCGTGGGTGTCGTAAGAGGCAACAGAGGGAAACAAATAGGCTTGCCAATCGTTCTGCGAGAGCCGGGACGTCCTGTTTCTATAGAGCCTTAGCGGATGCGTCCCGCAATAGATTTTCTTTTATAGAATAAGGGTGACAAACGAGCACACAGTCCACCTGATGGCAAGCGGTTGCTGTGGCCCATAGACATCTACATCTATCCTCGATTACGAATCAAAATGCAGATGCATTGTCACACGTGAGGACTAAGATGGAATGCCTCGTTTCCAGTAAAAAAGGGTCTCCGGTTTTCTACACTCACCATTTGAAACACAGCAGTGTTATGCTGCTATTCGGTATTCTGTGAGAGCGTGGTCCTTCTCCGATCGAGCCACCCATTCGTGCTACAACTATACTACTAATATAGCTGCAGCATGACTCTACCACGTAAAGAAGATGAAGATGAAGAGATGTGTATGGGACGCCAATTTTCCCGATTTTGACAGTCTCATTGGTCTAGTGGTCGAAAGCGCAACTGTGGATCGTGAGGTCCCGGTTTCGAGTCCATAATCGAAATAAAAACAGTTATTAGATTTTGCTGTCAAGAAACAATGTATATCAGCCCGGAGTCAGGAAGTTGGCGGTATTCCATCCCCGTGCCCTGGAAAGCACGTAAAAGGTCCGACGCCTGATTTCTCTTCGATCGTATCAGATTGTCGTCCCATTGGATTATAGAGAATAGACGTTATATGTATAAACATTTGCTTGACTTTGCTGAAAGTGAAGGTGAAATCAAGCAAATGTGCCCACATTTGCTTGATTTCACCTTCTCCTTCCTATTTCTGAAAAAAAAATGTTATGATATTATTTACGTTCTAAATTTAAACAATGATAATAATTAAAATTACCACTCCTGTACATTGAGGTATGCAGTAACCGGTTAATGGGAAGGCTTCTTGACCTCCGGGGATAGCCATCTTATCCGTGTATTCTAAGCCGATTTCCATGATGGCAGCATCAAAGCGCCTTCTATTAGGTGTTAAATGCAATATGATACCAGAACTGTCAACCCAATCTGCAATAAAAATATTCAGTTACAAATATTTTGTTAGCTACGCTTCAAAAAAGAAAACACAGAGAGGTCGATATTTATTTTACTGTAAAAACTCATTGCTATGAGGTCATAAACAAGAAAGAAAACAGGCGAGAGAGAGAGTTTGTATGGAGTAAATTCCACCGGCATTTCCTCATAAGCGTCTAAAAAGCACTATCGAAATCCATGAGACAGGAAGTAACAAGCATTTTTAGTTGCAAAGTGTACTGGCACTGCTAATCCAAAATCCGGACTAAAAACGACTGATGATACTGACGATCAATATTTAATGTCATATTTACCATTTTTTAATTCTGGATTATTGTAATGAACCTCGAGCATTACATATTTGTTAGAGTTGGGCCCGCCGATAGGTAATCCCGCTTCTTCTGGATATGCAAAGGGAGGTGCCCCCATCGCCCATGCTGCTCTTACCTAAAAAAAAAAATATATCATTCTTCTTAACCGAAAACTGTCGAAGGAGAATTCAATTAATATCCCATCCCCGTTATAATTATTATACGAGGGTGGATTGAAAAGTACTCGGCCTAACACAGATCCATTCAATTCTAAAAATCAAATCTACCCACATTATTTAGTTCAGTTCAGACTAGTTCATTGTGTGAAGTTCGAAACGTGTGCGATAATTAGTTGTGATTTTATAAATTTATTAACAAAGTAATCGGACATAATTTCCGCGAATGGAGCAAATCGAGCAGCGTGCCGTCATTAAGTACCTCCATAAGAAGGGGCTATCATCAAAAGCCATCCATGATGATATGGTCAGTACATTAGGCGATTGTGCTCTGTCATATTCATCCGTCAAAAAATGGGTAGCAGAATTTAAGCGTGGTAGAGAGAGTGTGAAAGATGAACCCCGCTCTGGAAGGCCTTCGACGTCAACTACTGACGAAAATATTAAAAAAGTACTTGATTTAATAATGGGAGACCGCAGATTAAAAATTAGAGAGATAGCCGAGATTATAGGCATCTCTTATGAATGAACTCAAAACATCATTGTCAACGAGTTGGGTTTCCACAAGGTGTATGCGAGGTGGGTTCCGCGACTGCTTTCAGTTGAACAAAAAAGGACGCGATTGACTATTTCACGCGACTGTTTGGAGTTATTTGAAGCCGATGCAGATGATTTTTTGAATCGTTTTGTTACTATGGACAAAACATGGGTTCATTACTGTACACCGGAAACAAAACAACAATCAAAACAGTGGAGAAGACCTGGTTCGCCACCCCCTAAAAAGGCTAAGTCGATTTTGTCGGCAAATAAGGTGATGGCTTCAGTATTCTGGGACTCGAAAGGTGTGATTATGATTGATTATCTTGAAAGGGGTCAGAATATAAACTCTGATTACTACTGCACCTTACTACGTCGTTTACGAGAGGAAATAAAAGAAAAACGTCGAGGAATGCTCAGAAGAAAAGTCCTGTTTCATCAAGATAACACCCGTGTTCACACGTCAGTACAGTCAATGGCTGAAATTCACAACTGTGGCTTTGAACTGTTACCGCATCCGCCGTATTCACCTGATCTGGCACCATCAGACTTCTTTCTGTTCCCTAACCTAAAAAAGCACTTGGGAGGTCAAAGATTTTCGACAAACGACGAGGTCAAAGCAGCTGTAGACGCATATTTTGACTCTAAGGAAGAATCATTTTTTTTCAACGGTCTAAATACTTGGAAGGGGAGGTGGCAAAAGTGTATTGAACTTGATGGTGATTATGTAGAAAAATAAAAATATAACTGATTTAGTATTTGTTTATTTTCTTGGTTAGGCCGAGTACTTTTCAATCCACCCTCGTATGTTATAATCCCCGTTAAAAGTAAATTTTATATTTAATTGATTTTGAGGAAATTTATATTTCGCGAAAAAATGTCTGTAGTTTTACGTGTTTTTCAATTTCATATTCTGTGTTCTTTATGTTACTATTATTAAAAACAATTGTGTCATTTATTAAAAATACTTTTTCTTTCAAGGAATGTTTCACTTCCTTGAAATCCTTAAAATAAATAAACTTTTTCTTTTTACCTTCGAACACAATTTTGTGATTTCAGGTCGATTGTTGGCGAAACAGTTCCCATTATAATACGGTATATCCTGTTGAGGGTCCGCGTCGCAATAGAACAACTCCATATGATGTACTAAACCTTCGTTGCCTTTAGTGATAACAGATTCGAACTAAAAGAAAATTAAATGAATAAATTACTATTCCACTTCACCTAAATGCTTTTTGCAACTATGTATTTAATGTTTCTGCCGTAAGTCCACAAGATATCAAATTTTTAATAGTTCTTTGCGTATAATTTTCCTTTTTTTTTTTTTCATAGGAAATGCCTACGTGTACTCGTCTCTCAACAAACACGGGCTATGTAGGACTTGCAATGACTAAAAATCGTATGGTCTTGGCACCGTGGCACCTTGTCCGCATATCGGCAGGGACATGGCAACACTATCGCACATAACCGCTGCTCCTCCAGCGTCAACTGCCCCTTGGTGCCCCCTTGTCGGGGGAGGAGAAGAAAAGAACTGCCCCTATTTCTCCTAGCAAGGTTCCAACTTGTTCAAGCTTCAAGTTTGGGTTCCTATTATTTCACTATACGTGGACAAGTCACGCCTACTAATCTGGTGGGATGAACTACACAATTAAGCGACTTCTTTATAATATACCCTGTACAGATGGTAATATTAATTTTTTTACGTAGTAAAACGATGGTGCAGCTATATTAATTGTATAGTTGTAGCACGAATGGGTCGGCTCGACCGGGGAAGGACCATGCTCTCATAGGATATCAGCGTAAAATAGCAGCTCAACGCTGCTGCGTTTCGTATAGTAAGTGTTTTTTTTTTTAATAGGAGAGGGGGCAAACGAGCATGCGGCTCACCTGATGGTAAGTGACTACCGTCGCCCATAAACAACTGCAACACCAGGGGAACCAGGGGAATTGCAGATGCGTTGCCGGCTTTGAGTGTAGTGAATCGGAGACCCATTTTAGTGGAAACGAGGCATTCCATCTTAGTCCTCATGTGTGACAACGCGTCTACATTTTGATTCTTAATCGAGGATAGATGTAGATGACTATGGACCACAGAAACCACTTACCATCAGGTGGGTTGTGTGCTCGTTTGTCACCCTTATTCTATAAAAAAAATATCCGTTAGTATATGGTAAGTAGACTTTGGTAGAATTTTTTGAGACGATTAGAAAGATAAAAAATCGTATTATACCTTAATAATGTGATGAACGTTCTGATTGATGAATTCAGGGAGTTTAACAACCTTGCACCAGTAGGTAGTATCACTGTTGGGGACTTTCAAATTGTCGTTAGTGATCCGTAATTGCTGGCCGGAATATTTTGAGATATTTGTAGGAGTTAATAATCGCACGCGGATAAAACCACGATCCTGGGATTCGGTGCAAGTTAAACATAATCCTTTAGAAGAAAACAGCTTGTCAACACCTCGCGCCCATATCACGTGAACGGTTCCATCCTGTAAAAAAAAGTTTTTTTTTTGTTAATAAAACTGACAGACAAGGGAATTTACAGTTCGTGGACACATATAGCTAATTTCAAACAAAGAAGACTACATATGTATTGTCACCTCTGATGACTAGGTTGGAAAGCCATACAACTTGTAATTATGCTGGCTCTCTTTACTATTCAAACCGGAACACGGCAGTGCAGGCACTGCTATCCGACGACAGAAATAGTTAGGAGGGTGGTACCCATCTAGACAAACTCCTAGGCAGAAAAAAAGTCCAGCCACCTAATAGTAGTAAATTATTTAAACTAATTTTTTTTTATAGGATAGCGTGACAAACGAGCACACAGTCCACCTGATGGTAAGTGATTGCTCTGACCCAAAGACATCTACATCTATCCTCAATAAAGAATCAAAATGCAGATGCGTTGTCACCCGTGAGGACTGGATGATACAGATGGATTGCCTCTTCTAGTCAAAAGGGTCGCCGGTTCTCTACACTCACCATACGAAAAACAGCAGCATTAAGCTGCTATTTTACGCTCGTATTCTGTGAGAGCGTGGTCTTTCTCAGGTCGAGCCGACCCATTCGTGTTACAACTATACCACTAATATAGCTGCAGCATGTCTCTACCACGTAAATGTTTATTAGCCTTTCGAATCCATTGTTGAAAAGGTACATGTTTTTAAGAATACGCCATTTTCAGTTTACTTTTTGCTACTTTATACTAATTTGTATGGAGCACAGTGAACTGGTTTGAGCGCAGAGCCAATACCCTCACACTGGCACTGGTAATATTGCTCCCCTCCATGGTTGGTTTTTCCCCATCAGTTGATCGCCAGTGTTAGGCTACGAAATGTGTAAGTGTTTAATACGGCTATCTTTAGCATGTTCTTTGTTTAGCTTTTGTTTAATTGGATAGAAGAAAGTAGAAATAATCATTGCAATAACTAAAACATCGCTTTTACATTACATTTACTCCGTAAGTTGGTTAATGTTAAAAAATATCGAGGGATCGAACATTTCTTAATCATTGATTGTCATCAAGCAAGCGCCTTTTTTCAACCGTCTTCAAAAGGAGGAGGTTCTCAATTCGTCGGAATCTTTTTTTTAATGTATGTTCACCGATTACTCGAAGACGCCTGATCTGATTTGGAAAATTCTTTTTTTTTGTTTCAAAGGGTATATTTCCTATGTCCATATAAATTTGATCAAGATCTGACCAGTTTTTGAGTTATCCTTAATAATTTATATTGAAATCGGTTGTACAAAATATTTAATTTTACCACTTGTTAATTTGCTTCATTCGGAAAAAGCGGTCCTGAGTAATAATCGTTACGTATACCTGTGCCACCTGTGCTTGGAATTGCTTACAAATAAATTCAAAAACATAATTTTGTATAATGGGTCATTCTACCGTGAGGTGAAATAAAATAAATAAAAATAAAATCAACGTTTTGTTTATTTATGACATAAAAATATTTTTTTGGTATTTAAGTCAGTAAGTAAGTAAGTAATTTTTTTTATTATTTATTTATTTATTTCGACCAGCAAGGATCATAGGGTAGTATTACATTCATTTCAATTTAATTCTAATACTAAAATTATTACTCATTACTAAAATTAATATATCAAATTTAAGGAACATGTAAAAAATAATGAAATAGTTAAATATACTAAAAAATTAAAAAAATATAGGTTTTTCCGTTTTTAACAATAGGCAGTAGTGACCACGAATTCGACAGGAATTAACATTTTTGGCCTTAAAGTCTTAAACTTAATAACATAACATCAACACAAACTTCTAACAACAAATAATTAATTTATCAGTCTTGTGATTATTCTGGTCACATATTAACTAATCAAAGTAGTACAATAAAAAATAAACAAAAATAGACAACATAAGTGACATCATTTCTGTCGATTATTCAAAAGATTTTTTCGTCACTTGAGGACGATAATATACGAAGTTGATTCCAATACCAATACAATCCTATTCCAATCCAATCCAATACAATATCCATTCAAGACCAAAACTTGTCTTGGATGGATATTGTAGATGGAATCATCAGTTGCAGAAAAACTTCAATCAAAACGATTATCTTCATCGTTTTCATCCCTTCTAGATTCAGAATTGTCGCAGGTTAATAATGTCATCACTTTCTTCGTCACTCCCGTAGCACACCGCGTAGAAATTTAATATTTTATAAGTATTCTGGATATAAGAGTCCAAGCTGGCGATAACGAACGCAAACTAAGATGATCCTTATTTCTTTAAACTAGTGAGTCCTGGAGGGTTGGATTAGGCAAAGGAGATTTTAACAGTGACTCTGGTGAACCAGTAACAATATCTTCTGTTTTTTTTTTGTTAAAAAGATGATTATGTTATGGAAACATATTTCATCAGGCCCGTAATCAGTTATATGGCGTATAAACAAAGTACCCTTGAACGTAAATGTGGTACCTATATTCGAAATGCCAAACATATGATCGTAATGTGCCTCAACAACAGGTAATATTTGGATATTTTTTTATAGCATAGGGTGACAAACGAGCACACAGTCCACCTGATGGTAAGTGGTTGCTGTAGCCCATAGACATCTACATCTATCCTCGATTACGAATCAAAATGCAGATGCGTTGTCACCCGTGAGGACTAAGATGGAATGCCTCGCTTCCAGTAAAAAAGGCTCTCCGGTTCTCTGCACTCACCATACGAAACACAGCAGCGTTATGCTGCTATTTTAAGCTGGCATTCTGTGAGAGCGTGATTCTTCACCAGTCGAGCCGACCCGTTGGTGCTACAACTATACTACTAATATAGCTGCAGCATGGCTAAACCACGTATAATATGCAGGTCCCTTGCAAACACGTAATTAATGATTCGCAATCAGAGAAGTATCGCCCAACTACTACTTGAGCACCTCCTGTTCTCTTGACACATCTTCCCATGCCGTCTGGGGTGCCTTGTCGCGATTTTTGTAGCATTCTCATCTTATAGCTAGCTAAACAGTTTTCAAGTAGCAAAATCCTCTGTCTTAAATATTTCTTTTCAGCTCTTATTTTCCTTCGATTTTCTCTGCAATCTGCTAGCTCATAATATTTCTTAAAGATCTGGAGCTTTGCGGTACTGGTTATAAAGGTTTCATTTATAAGTCTAATGTCAGTTTCTCTGAGTTCCTTTTCTTTTCACGGTGTTTTCGAGTACATTCTTGCCGTTCTTTTCGTACTCGTTTTTGTATTTTTGGAGTTAAATTATTGATACATTTATATATTTTACTAATCCCTACTCTTTCCTATTTTTGTAATTTTCCCAACTAACCTACTATAGTATTGCTGCCTACGCCGATCCTTCTTCTCTTTGTCTGTCAACATCCTTTTAACCACCTATAGTGTAGCTATAGTTTTGAAGATTTCGTGATTACTCAGTCAAAATGTGATTTAGTAGTATTTTAAAGTTTGATAGAATTTATGTCAGATCCTTGAACTATAAATAAATTTTGTTGTAAACTTTATATAATAAAAATAAATATAAATAACAATACATTAATAAATCCTATCAACGCTTAAATTTGATAGAATTTTAATTAAAAGAATAATATACGAATTAGATAGTAATTTTTACGTGTTTTATAAATTCATAACAGCTACTTCAACACAAAATATTAAACACCTTTTTTTCTCAAATTACGCGCCACACCTGGTGGAGATAACTATGGAGATAACGAACAAAATTGGCTTTGAATTTCTTATTATTTAATGTAACACTTGATTTGCCCTGACAAGCGTTGTTTAACTGATTAATGCATAAAAAACATAGGCGGTAGTCACTTCGGTCGAGAGTCGTCATTTCTGTCGACAAAGTAGTCGACAGAATTGACTTCGACAGAAGTGACAAATTTTATTAACAGCTACAATTTTAGAGGCAATAATATCCATTGTTGTTTTGGAACTACGTGAAACCTTTTTTCTACAAGGCTGTGTGTGGCAATTTATTTTATCATGTTAGTAACCTTTTATTTTTTCCTCTAAGAAGTGACTCAACTGACTAAATTCAACTTTGACACACTTGTAGAACCTCTTTTCAATTTAAAATTTTCAGTAGCTCGCTTTTGTTCCATCAAGAAATGTGACTTATCACTGACAGGTATGCACTAATATTGCAATAAAAAGCAAAACAACGTTGAAATAATTCGCTTTCTGATTCTAGTATTCAAAACTTTACATGTCAACAGTTGTGACAAAAAATTTATAACGCGTTTAGAAACATCAATATTTTTTATAATTGTGTGACATAATTTTTAAAAGTCTTTTAATCTTAATGTTAAGGACAGGTATCGTTTCAAAAATTATAAGTTTAGCTAGTAGCTTAAGAATTTCTATTTTTAAGTAGCCCTTAAACCTTCAGAGGGCGTCGGCGAACAGTCGACAGGCCATGACACGTCACGTATTGTCGACACGTTTTTATTCATTGAATCATCACTTATCTACAAAATAATGAATGTCAAATATAGATGGTGATGTCCCATTTAATATCACAGCAAATAACGAATCAGGACGTCGTAATCATGAAGTTACATAACGCGACCATAAATTTCTCAGGTTCGTAGAATGACCCTACTGCCAAAAATGAGACCATCCCCCAATATTTATTTTGTACTCTTCTACAAATAATAAAGATAATAGATGTGGGAGCGACTCGGTCTCCCACACTATTAACTTCTCGTTTTGTGACTAAATAGAAATATATAGAAAGTAAGATAGTTTTATTTAAACTACTAAATCTTTTTGAATGAAAACTTTATCAATATACATTATGTAATTAGGCGTCGAATGAAATTGTTTTAGAGATTATAATACTTATGTCATTTCTTCTCAAGACATGCAAGACGAAAAGTTTACCCACGTACGAACGTAGATACACATCAACATCCTTTCAAAACAGCACATTCGGTCTCTACATATTATATATCTTAAAACGAGGAGTGTATGTTGAAATATGAATTATTAAATATCGGACCCATTAAAACAACCTTCAAATCATCATCATCATCATCATTACGGCCCTTCACAAGTACACTGCTGAACTACCCCACGGAATGCCACAAAGCACAGTCCTTAGCCACCTGCATCCATCGACTTCCTGCGTGTCTAACCGTTTAAAGCTCTGTTGTAATTCCATCCTTCTCCCATAGGGAGATATTTGCCATAGTTACCACACTTGGCAAGTTTTTTTTATTGTGATATTGCTGATATCAGAAAAATGCTGCTGTCCGTCTCCTGCCTCCAAATATTAAGTTAAAAAGGTACAAAAAAATTACCTCAATTACATAATCGTTATCGTCGCATGTGTCAAAATAGCGCTCGAATAATACACTCCGGCTCTTGCTGTCTACATAAAAAGTTTCGCAGTCTTGTTGTTCATCAGGAGTTAACCTTCCTTCGGCATCTGCGTGCATGTCCTGAAAGAAAATTTCACAATACCTTATTTATATACATAAGTTGTTTAGTTTGTTAAAGAAGTAATAAAACAGTGAAAGGATTTATAAACTTTCTAATTCGGTTTCATTTTCTACATTTACAGACATATTTATACGATGTATACAATTTTCACCTCGAAATGATCACGCCCTTTATAGTCGGTCCACACTAAGCAGACATCGGAATTTTCTAACTCGCCTCTGTTAGAAAATCCTAACGCAAACCAGTTGGCTTCAGGTGCTTTGTCTGATATGATTAATTGAAATCTAACTTTTCGATCTAGATAATCAACTTTCCATTTCAGCAACAATGCACCATTCGAGTCCAACACTGACACACTTTCGGCGAAACGATGCTCTGAAAAAAGTAAAAAAAAAGTTACAGCCTATATACGTTCCACTGCTCGGCACAGGCCTCCCCTCATTTCTGAGAGGGTTTTAGGGCGAGGAAATGGCCGCCACGCTGACCCAATGCGTGTTGGCAAACTTTACAAGTCTTCGAAATTTTTTTCTTATTTCTCAGACATGTAGGTTTCCTCACGATGTTTTCCTTCACCGCTGAGCACGTGGTAAATCAGCACTTATAATTGCAATTAATAATTTCATTGGTGCCGGCGGGGTCGAACCTGGGTTGCTCGCGTACTGGGAAATTTATAGCGAGCGCTAACCATCTGAGCTACCACGGCTCTGATGGTCTGAAAAGATAATATAAAAATATATGTATTTTTTCTCAGTATTTTCGTCGTATAACTTTAAGACGGAAACGAAATCAAAAGTAAAGAAAAAAAACAGCCTATGTGCGGTCCAAAGCTGAGCACAGGCACCCCTCTCATTGTTTTAGGGCAAGGAAGTATCTGCCCTGTTGCGCATTGCTGGATTTCACACACGCAAAATTCCTAAGGAAGTTTTCTTTCGCCGCCAATTTCACCGCACGTGGTAAATCGGCACTTATAATTTAATTTAACTACTTCATCGGTGTCTTTGGGGACCGAACCCAGGAGCTCGCGTACTGTGCAATTTACGGCAAGTGCTTAGTTCCTGAGCTACCACGGCTCCACGACGTTGTAAATCAAAGATTAATGTTATTGTAAAAGTTTAAAAATAAAGTCTACGTAATATATTATGTATACGAGCCTATATGTACGTCAGACATGGCCACAGAACGAAAGGGTACTTGAAACAAGGAAAAGTCAGGCGCTCTAAGTACAATGCGTATTGAAGTTTCACATGTCATGATTTTTTTTGAATCTCAGAAGTAACGGTTTTTCTAATAAAATTACTTCGCCACTGAGTACCTGGTAAATCAGTACTTACGAGGGCGGCACTGAAAATTTCGGGAATCAAGGAAGTGACACAACATTACTATTTAAAAATGTATTTATTGCTTTTCGAAGTATTCTCCGCGAAATTTGACACATTTTTCCATACGATGGAACCAATCATTGAAGCAACCATTCCATTCGGAAGTTGGGGTCTCCAAAATGGCCGTTTTGTAGGCGTCCACAGCTTCTTCAGGTGATAAAAATCTCTGTCCACGCAATTTATTCTTTATTTTAGGGAAAGTATAGAAATCATTAGGGCTTAGGTCGGGGCTATACGGCGGATGGTTTAATAATTCTATGTTTTCTTACTATAAAAACTCTTTTGTTCTGTGTGCGGTGTGAGAACTCGCATTATCGTGATGGAGGATGATGCGGCGGTTGCAGTTCTCTTTACGGAGTTCAGAAACGACCTGTAGCAAACAAATGCTAGCATACCATTCTGCATTAACCGTTCTTTGTCCCTCAAGAGAAATAGTCGTAACATGGCCGGTTTTGGTGACAAACGTGGCCACCATTTTTTTTGCAACACTTCGTGAACGAACAATTTTTGTTGGCTTTAACTCATTTTCGAACACCCAAACTCGTGACTGGTTTTTTGTTTCGGGTTCGTACGCGTATATCCAGGATTCGTCACCCTGATACGATGTTGTATACAGCATTTGAGGATCCTGCGTGGAATCTTTCGAGAGTTCTGACGCACCAAGTAACGCGAGCCGCTTTTTGCTCTTCACAGAGCAAATGCGGTATCCATCGGGAAAACAACTTTTTTACACCTAATTTTTCATGCAAGATTATTTGTATTTAACTCATGCCAACGTCTAAAGTTGCCTGAATTTCGCGGTATGTCACATGTCGATCTTCCTCAATCAGCTTACGCACAGCATCAACGTTTTCTTGGGTGACTGCAGTTTTTGGACGACCTTGACGGGGATCATCACTGAGCTTGACACGTTCCACGTTGAAATTCAGCAAACCAGCGATAAACTGTGGTTTTGGATGGGGCTTCATCACCAAATGCAGAAATCATCCGGTCAACACACTGTTTTTGTGTTAAACCACTTCGAAAGTCATAATAAATCATCGCTCTTGAATTTTCTCGAGTCAATTCCATTTTCTCAACGACTAAACAAGTTTGACAAAACCTTGTGACAAGACCGAGAATCTTTTTTTAAATAAATAAATGGTATTAAATTTTAAAAAAAAAAACAAGAACTTTTCAATTAAAAAGATTTTAATATGACAGGAACAGTGGAAATATTCCATTCCCGATACTTTTAGTGCAGCCTATGTACTTAAAATTGCAATTTACAATTTTATCGGGGCCGGCGATAATTTGTGTGTAGATTTGATTTGTTCGCGTATTATGAAATCACATAAATTAGGCTCTAAAAATATGATGTCAAAAATATACACCAGTCTGCTGATTTTAATTATTTTCCTAATCATAGAAGTCTTATCATTAATTACACTCCTACTTCATTTACTACGAGTATAAACAGATTGCTACGTTCGTAAACATACTTAGTTCCTAATATATAACTAAATAATGTATTGATTCATTGGTTTTTTTTGTGGATATTCTGCATTTAGTAAGTCGCCAGAGTTTTGTACTGCTTCGGATACACAGCGTTAAGTTGAGGGTGGCATTTAGGAAAAAGTAATTGATATATTTTCCCATTACAACCTTATTTTCACAGACTGACGAGGTTCATCATTACCAATGCAAGAGCATCTCTGAGTAACCCGACAGCTCAGCGTGGTAAGCACATGCAACTCTTTCAAGAAATGCTTGACAGCTAGCGCGTTCTTATTCCATATTCAGCAGTGGGCTTAAAACTGTTGTTTTTACCGTAGAGGTAACAAAAGAGCACACAGACCATCCGATAAAAGTTAATGCTGTGGTCCATAGGCACTTTTATTTTCTTCTATAAGAACCAGTTGCGTTGTCATCCCTGATGATTAAATACGATACGCAGTAGCATTACATCTAAAAATTAGCATTATACTGCAATTTTTCGTTTGTATTCTGTGCGAGTGTGCGAGCATGTCGGGTCGACCCATTTGTGGTGTGGGATTAAATGTGCTGAAGTCCACCGTGTTTCTACCACCTAAAAGATGAACTGAACCTTCTACATTCATCATCATAATTATAAGTACAGCCTATCACAAGTCCTACCCGTCACAAGGAAAACCGTCTTCAGCCAACTGCGTCCACCGACTTCCAGCATGACTTGCCAGGCTGTTACCCCATATAGTGGAGTGTCATATATACTTAATGCTTTTGGGGTATTTAGATGCTAATAGAATTTTGGAAAAAGGTAAAGTTCTCTGTGGTTGATAGATAGATACAGTGTCCAAACCAAAGCACAATTTCAATAAATCTATATCCAAAAACCAATCATTTGAGTTTTACGTAAATGTTATTTCCGATTGGAGACAGGCACCCAGATCACCAAGCTACGTACACAAGCATCTATATAACTTACCTGTTTGGTTGTTAATTGAAGAAACATAATGATAGCAAATAAGCGACACAAATATCACCGAAATACACCTAGATGCCATAGCTATTAATTTAAACTTAACATATTATAGAAAACTAACACTACTTTGTGTTAAGAGTAACGTTGAAGATGTGGATCCTACGAGCGCAAGGACTACAATGAAGAAATATCTGATCCTAAGCTCGTATCAAACTCTCGAAATGACGTTGCTCAGGAATGTAAGGATCGACGGGTACAGTCGAAGTATTAATACAAAGGAATTTAAAGATCAACAAGTACAGTCAACGAAAAAAGGATAATAGCTTTATCTAAAAATATATTCAGTAATTTTTTTTTATCTTTTAATACTATTTCCGCCTAGCTTATTTATTTTTAAAACAGTTTATCAGATGAAACTTAATACATTGTGAATTATTTTTAATTTTAATCTGTAATATTTTAATTTTCTTTTACACCGTGTAGTGGCAGCGCAGCGTAAGATAATTCACTGGCCGTCCATGCCATCCCGTCGGTGTCGTAAGAGGCGACAGAAAGAAGCTGAAACAGGAGATGGCCAGTAGCATCTTTCTGATAACCTCTTAAAATAATAAAAAAAAAGTTGTCACTTGTCAACCCACTTGCCAAACGTGGTAACTAAGGCAAATATCTCACTATGAATCAAACTATGCGGAGACTTGATAGGCTGTAATGAATTAATGAATTGAAACAATAGATTTACTATTGTTTTTATTTATCCTTTTTAAGAATTTGCCCACCGAATAACTTATTTTTCAGCCATTATTACAAAACGGGGCAGGCAAGTTGCCGAACGCACAGCTCTTGATCATTAATTTGTGAGATTTAGGTTGAGCATTTCCCAATGAATATGCCGTCATTTTGTCTGTAGCTAGAGCCACGTTCGTTACGTACAAATGTGAGAAGTTGTTACATTTAAAAAAGCAACGAATTATTATTAGAGTCTAATCGAATCGCAATTAAAACTGGCCTCGTGACCCAAAACTTTTCTGGACATTAATTAACTTTCCTTTCTTTAACCCGTTATTTAAAAAGGTCACTGCTGAACATAGGCATTGCGGCAAGGCTATGGGGGAGGCCTATGTTGTTGTCACAGTTGTCTGGCAGGTTAGCAACCGCAGTCTTTATTCTTATTTGTTATTAGTAAGACTAGTGCCCATCTCCTGGGTCGCCTCTGATCACATTCACGCGAATAGATTACGGTAATATCTAATAAATAATAATCTGAAAAGTATAAATAATACATTTCTACATACTTAATAATTAAGGAAAATATTTTGCAGTTCTGAATTAATGAAGTCGTTAGGTATGCGCTTCAGAATGCAAGCGAAAAGGCTCGGCTTTTATTAAATACCTCAAATGCCTGCACCCGCCACCCACTAGATAGAGGGTGGCCGACTTCACCGCACTGCCTGCGGCACCCTGAATTTGATCACGTTTTAACTAGACCGTAATTGTCATCCGAACATTACGTGTAAATATCCTCAAATGTTGAAGAATTCTAAAAATAGCTACTTCTATAAGAAATCATTGTTGACAATAATTAAATCAATGACAAAACAATAATTCACAAGATTAGACATACTTTTATGTTTACATTTAATAATAAGAAACATCAACAAATAAAACTGCGCTAAGCATTTGGGTATAAGCCTATTTTCGTGTCCGAGCAGTTGACAGCTAAAGCTACGCGCTTATACTTCTTGGCTCGTGTCCTGGCAAAATCAAAGAAGTATTGCTGGACAGCTTATGGTAAAATTTACATTAGTATGAAAGATGATTCGACAATAATTGAAATAAACTGCGAGGCTCAAGTTCATCAATTCATCATCATCATTACAGCCTTTCATAAGTCCACTGCTCAACATAGGCCTCCCCCAAGGAATGCCACAAAGGGCGGTCCTGAGCCACCTGCATCCATCGACTTCCTGCATGTCTCACCAGGTCGTCACTCCATCTCTTGGGGGGTCGCCCTACACTTCGCCTACCGGTACGAGGCTGCCACTCGAGAACCTTTCTTCCCCATCGGTTGTCGGTTCTTCGAGCTATATGGCCGGCCCACTGCCACTTCAGCTTACTAATCCGTTGGGCTATGTCGGTTACTCTGGTTCTACTGCGGATATCCTCATTTCTAAGTTTATCACGCAGAGAAACCCCGAGCATAGCCCTCTCCATAGCTTGCTGAGCGACCTTGAGCTTCCTCATACGGCCAGCAGTGAAAGACCACGTCTCAGATCCGTAAGTCATCACTGGCAACAGTTTTTAAGGTTTTGAGGTATCTCTAACGAGAAGATGTGTCGTAGTTTCCCGAACCATACCCCCTATGATGTGTTCATCAATTAATGCAAGGAAAATGACTAGTCCAGGATGAGTTGAATTGACAATTAAGAACTGTATTTCTTTTGATCTTTTATACTTCGTCTAAAAATAGTTTTTGCCTTATTTTTGCAGTTCGCAATACCTTTAGTGACTATTTTTGTTATTATACTACATTTTACACACATATTCATTTGCACACCATAATCTTACATTGTATTATGCACACATTATTTTTCTTGCCTCTCAATTTCTTCATTGTTATTCTTAAAAAAACTATTGGTAAATCCAATTGTGCATGCCCTAAGCGCATTACGTATAACATGATTATACGTAATTTTTTTAAAGTAGTTTAAATACACACAAGTTTTCACTAATAACCTTACTATTATACTTCCCCTTTTCCAATAATTTTATGTCCAACTTCAATATAAAAAAGTTTGGAAAATCCAAAAGTGCACCACTCATAATGCTCATATGATCATCATATCATCATTCAGGTTACTCCATAAAGTCCAAGATGTATTTAAGTATAAATATATACATCCTACTTACTTTTAGTACGTAGTACTATTAATTATTATGTGCTTTTGAAATATTGTAATAAAAATCAATAAGAATACGCACAGTTGCTGTGTTTTATAGATTCTCATGCTCGAATAGATAGAAGTTTGAAAGCAGCATAATATAATAGCAATCACCATAATATGGGAACTATTCATCAAAATTCTGAAATGACTATCATGGGGTCTATACACATGCAAAACTGATTTCCATTTGTTATAATGGTCGGAAGGTAACATTATTTTCTAAATTAGACTTTTCTCATTATTTCCCTTTTGTTATAGCTTGGAGATCATTATAGATGGTTAATTTATATATCATTACCATCTAAAATATGCAAATTTAATGCAATGCGAGATTACTATTGGGTAAGTTATGGCTTGTTCTGACTGTTGAATTATGAAAAGGAAATTCTTAGCGTTGGTATTATCTTATACGTACTATGTGACGAAGTAGGCTGTCAGTGCTAACCTCGCTACGGTTTTGTATTCACTGATTGATTGTAATACCGCGTATAGACTTAAATTTAAAATTAAAACTCCCAAACTCGTTTTATTCCTAAAATTTAATAAATGATCACACAAATAGTTATCCAGTACATATATTTAACTTTTCATTCATAGAATTTAAACATGTTGATGCAGTTTATATTATGTCAATAATTCTTGGTAAATTTTGATGTGGTTTTATCTACATATTTGTATATGTATATATATATATGCATAGTTTAAAGATAGTAGAAAATGTTAGTCCTAAAAGATATTAACCGCCCCTGATGGAAGAGAAGAATTTCGCCAGATCTTTTGATATCGGATCGGATTGGGGCGATGAATTATCAAAATAAAATGAAATTTTAAACTTTGACGATGGTCCCAAATTATTATGATAATAGAATGAAATACCAATTTTTGACCTAGGTTTGATATCCTTTAATTCCTTTAAAAGGGGACGGCGCGTACGCAGTCCCCACTACCAAAAATTACGCGTCCGAGTTATCCACATTAGGGATAATCGCAGGGGTCAACCTAACCGCAGTGCAATGGAAAGGCCTCGCCCTGGGGGAACCGCCTTCCTGATCACGGTATCCCCTACGCCAGGTAAGTATGATTACTGTATACTGTGCTGCTGAAGTGATTCAGACGGAAAGAAACTCAACATCGCGATCCGAAATTTTCGTAAAGTCACACTGTGACCTCTATCGGTAAATTAAGTAACTAAATTGTATGAACCAAGTTTATGATATGAAAAGTTTCTATAAAAAGTATAGATGGTGCTTTTATAAGAAAATTGCAGAAACAAATTGTGTTCCATGTTGGCCTATGACAAAATATGTGAAAAAGGGACGAATAGAATGTATTATGTAATAATATAAACATTTATACAAGTACATATAAGAAATTGCCGACAAACATTTTGGCAAAATTAAAAAATTGTAGAATGTATACTTTGTAAGAACAAATTTAAAAAAATAACAGGATTGAATCTGAAACCTATATGAGAACCTTTAGACGCCCTTATTTTATTGTTATACGAGCCAAACATATTCTCTTTAAATCACAGAGTACTCTTTTATATAGGAAACTTTAAATTCATGAAGTGACAGGTTCACAGATTACTTTACTCCTAGTGGCCAGGATCCTCTTCCACTTCCGCAGTATTAATAATAATAATGTCCTCGGGACGTAATAATATTGAACTTGGAACGAAACTTGGCTTTTTTTATTTTTTTTTTTATTTTTTGTTTTTGTCCGTGGTGTTTTCGTTATTATTCGAACATAAAAATGGTTTGTTCGTCTTTTAATTATTTATAATTAATTATACAAATGTCATCCTTAGGTTATTGTAAATTTTAACTTTATCCCCTGAAATTATTAATTTCTACTAAATATCGTTTGTTCGATCGCTATTGATGTTGTTCGATCAAAAATACAACTTATTTGGTGGTGGTAAATGTTGATGGAAGGATTTATTCAAACCTGAATTAAAAAATAAGTTACTAGTAAATATGAGTAGCAGTGGAGTAGCGTGCCTTAGAGGGGCCCTGTATCAAAATTTGTCGGGGGGCCCAAATGAAGGGTAAAGATTTTTCACAAAAGGAACAAAAACTCTCGCATTGAATTAAAATAATTATATATTGATTATAAGTTATTACTTACAATTAACACT